TTGTCATTGACATGTTTAAACTAGATCGTGCACTATTTTTGTTACATATTTGTTTTTAAATGTACCATTTTAAGGTAATAGCTATATAGACTACGTAAGTAGGTCAAAGACATCAGTTATCCTAACTAGTATAAAGACCCCCCAAAAAACAATACATTTTCGAATTCTGCAGATTCCGAAGGTCATTTACGTAAAAACAGTTTCCGTCCAAGTCCCCGTCAATGTAAAATATATTTTTCATTCTTTCACGAGTCAATTTTTGAACATAATCCTGTCATAGGGTACGAAGTGAACTCAGCCTTAAAGTTGGAGATTTTTTCGAAGGTGCAGAAACCTTTTTTCCTCATAAAACTCATTCTTTTCTCTTATACAAAATATTTTTTCCACATATGGTTTGCGCTTTGAAAGAAGAACTGCCTCCATCACAGGACGAAATTGTAAGAATCCGTAAACGGATACGTGGCAGAAACATGTTAAACCGTTCTGGAAACACGACGGATAACCTGTGTTTCCGTAACCGGTTTCGTGACGTTTTCTCGCGTTTCCGTTGCTGCGTATACAACGGAACCGGACCACTTTTTGTGCATGTTAAACATAACGGAAACATGGAGTTGCATGTTTCCGCCACGTTTCAGAAATACGGAAACTTTTGATTTCGTCCTGTGCATTTTCAAGTTCGTATAATTCAAATTAGGACTTTTTTCATGATTTATTTAGGAAAACGTATTTGTAGCAAATACGCAGTCTGGTAGCAAATACACTCTTTCAGTTTTCGAGGACAAAGTGTTGTTTTTTTAACGGAATACGATGGATTGATGACATTTAGGCACATAAAAGGATAGATCTGACAAGTGAAATGCCCTGAACGAACAAAAAAAAAAAAAATTTTTTCTCTGATTTCTTTATTTTTGGTCTCATGTTAAACCTTTCGTCTTTCTCTTTTGTGAGTTGAGTTTAAGGTTTGCGTAGTTTCATTGAGCCTTCCGTCGATTTTTATTATTTTTTAGCTTAGATATTTTGATGAGTAATGCCCTTCAACGTTCTTGAAATTCTTAAATATCTGTATGTCTTGAAACTGAACCTATAAATTACGTGGTATACCCTCTAAGTAAGGGATCATAAACACTTGATGTAACTGGTTAGAATACAAGCGGTCCTTTTTTCGCTGGGAATGAAAAGGTAAAAAAGTTATTGGACCACGCGAAAGTGGCTGAGGTAGAGAATGCATACATCGGGCACTGTTTACACAGACAGGATTCATTTATAACCGCAAAGCTTTCGATGACGTTACGCCTTTCGTTTACAGGATTTTTGAAAACGTTATCAAACGTGGAGCGTTTTCAAAACGATTCGGTTCCGTTCGTCGTTTAAACGGCAAGACCGCACCGTTTTGCAAACGGTCACGACTTTTGGCACAAATTGTCTGGTTAGCGAATAGTAAACATGATGAACCACCACGGAGTGCAGCGTTTGCTTAAGCAGTCACATTGGAAAGCACCGGGAAAACGGCTAAATATGTTTCGTGTCAAAACCGCGCGTCTTTTCCAATTCTGTCTCGTGGTCATGAAACTGTGTTGATTGATAAATGCGTCAATATAAACGATGCATCATTCACCCCAAGTTTTGAAAGTTTTGACGCACCGCGTTAGGTTCTTGCTCGATAGCTTGATGAGGGACTGCCTCCTTCTCTCATTAATTCTGAATGACCACTTGAGCATCAAGAACTAAACTCGCAACACAATATTTTTTCCTAAGATATTTGCACGTGTTCATAGTTATAGTTAGTATAGAAACCTTGAAAAAGACACCGAGACCAGACAGTAAGAATTTGTATTATCCAAATGTTTAGTAATGATGTACCAAACGTACTACAGGTTAACCATGTACTAAAAATTAACTTTTACTTTTCAGTGATTTAAAATTGTGACGAATATAAGGTGCGCGTTCATTAACAACATTACAGGTAAACGAAGAGACTATTCGAGACTAACAATACTGTAAAAGTTACCCTCGTTTTGATAACTCTAAAGTGCGTTTCAAAGATCGTTAATCGTGTAGACGATCTGTTGCGCATTCACTGAACGACGCTATCAGGTAGCTACAGAAAGGAATGTTAAGTTCACAGAATACAACAGGTCAATAAAAGCCGAGGCGATCTACAGCGCAGGTCTATTAAACTGTGCATAACTTAACTCTAATTCTGGAGATCATAGCTTCTTTTTAATCTATTACTCAAGGTTACACCACTTATTAATTCTAGGTATAATGAGTCTAATGCATGTTTTGGTGATCGATAATCGTGTGGCAGATATGGTGCGCATTTATTGACGTTTGTTGTCAGGAAACTGAAAAGGTCTTTAAACTCAATGTTAACGATCGACATATTGGTCAATTGCGGCCGAATTAACCCACGTTGTGGGCCTTTCTCTAGTTGCCAATCACATAGTTTTGGATCTATTACGCAGTTTTAATAATAGTATCGGGACTAAGACCGTCATTTAGCTGCGTTTGGTTCTGATAAGTGTAAAGTACCTTTTAATGATAGGCCTTCGTGTAGACAACGTGTGCAATCATCAACGACGCTGTCAGGTAACAATTAAAAATGACTCTTTAACTCACTGTTAATGATTTCTCAATTAACGCCGAAGTAGCTCACAATAAAGGGCTATTTTACTGTGTACACCTTTACTCTTGTCACGGTTTTTGATCCATTACACGGGCCTAATAATACTATCAGGGTCACCATTATTTAGTCGCGTCTGGGTATAATAAGTCTAAAGCACGTTATGGTGATCTATAATCGTGTGAGGGATATAGTGCGAGTCATTAACGACATTATCAGAGAACTAGTGTTTTTTCTTGCCTAACTATAACGTACTAACGCACTAAACGTACTAACGCACTAAACAAATGAGGAACAAGCCGTGATGAGTCGTCCTTACTGAGTACTACGATACTAATGTACTAACGCACTAAACAAATGAAGAACAAGCCGTGATGAGTCGTTCGTATCAAGTACTACAGTACTAACATACCAACGCACAAAACAAATGGAGAACAAGCCGTGATGAGTCGTCCGTACTGCATACTACAGTACTAACGAACTAACGCACTAGACAAATGAAGAACAAGCCGTGATGAGTCGTCCGTACCGAGTACTACAGTAATAACGTACTAACGCACTAAACAAATGAAGAACAAGCCGTGATGAGTCGTCCGTACTGAATACTACAGTACTAACGTACCAACGCACATAACAAATAAAGAACAAGCCGTGATGAGTTGTCCGTACCGAGTACTACAGTATTAACGTACTAACGCACTAAACAAATGAAGAACAAACCGTGATGACTCGTCCGTACCGAGTACTACAGAACTAACGTACTAACGCACTAAACAAATGAAGAACAAGCCGTGATGAGTCGTTCGTACTGAGTACTACGGTACTTATGTACTAACGCACTAAACAAATGAAGAACAAGCCGTGATGAGTCATTCGTATCAAGTACTACAGTACTAACGTACCAACGCACAAAAAAAATGAAGAACAAGCTATGATGAGTCGTTCGTACTGAGTACTACGGTACTAATGTACTAACGCACTAAACAAATGAAGAACAAGCCGTGATGAGTCGTCCGTACTGGGTACTACGGTACTAATGTACTAACGCACTAAACAAATGAAGAACAAGCCGTGATGAGTCGTTCGTACTGGGTACTACAGTACTAATGTACTAACGCACTAAACAAATGAAGAACAAGCCGTGATGAGTCGTCCGTACCGAGTACTACAGTACTAACGCACCAAACAAATTAATAAAGCCGTGATGAGTCGTCCCGCGATAGTGCCCAAATATTTTTTTGATAATTTTCAGAGATGAAATGATGGGTTATAAAGGGGAATCAAGATTAGTGTTGTAGCTTTCTGGCAAGGGGAGATATTTGACCTCAAAGTTGTCAAATATTTGAACGAATCGAAAAGTCTAAAAACACAGTCGTTTCTTTGCTTCTGTTGATTGACAAGCCGTTAATCAAATTGACTAATACTTGCGGTGGACATTGACTAAGAATGGAAAAATATATGTGGAAATCCTCAGAGTAATTGATTAAATACCATCGCAGTGAGAGCTTCATACATTTTACCTATTTTTGAAGCGATTTCCTTGGTGAAAACCGAGAAAAACCGGGGGGGGGTGGTGGCAAAGTTTCACTGAAATAGGTGAGATGGCATGTAGCACGACTGCCCGGTGCTCGCGTGGACACGCTCTTAATACCCTATCTTCTAATCTATTACGACTAACATTAAAACTGGTTAATGTGCAGTTACTGCTTGTCAAAATAGTAAACAAGAGCATCATTCCTTCTCTTCAACTGACGTTTAAGTTGGTTACTGACTTGTTGTTAGGGCTGATCAGTGCATCACACAAGTGTTTTAATCCTGTTTTTCCAAAGAAAGTCCCTGTGACGGTCGAATTAACCTGTGATGGTTAATTTGCAGTTAACACCGATGAGCGCGTTACACAAGTGTATTATTCCTTCACCTCCTTACCTTTTGTCACTGACGTTTAAGCTGGTTAAATTGCATTCACCACTGATCGGCGCTTCACACAGGTGTTCTAATCCTTGACTAAGTAAACCAATGCCATACGGTGTCAAGCTGTAGAGTTCACTCTGAGTAAGCACTGTACTTACGTTCTTCAAACCTTTATCAGATATCCAACTGCTAGAGAGAGGATTAACCTGGTTACTTTCCAGTCCATGTTGGTGATCACTTTACACAGCGTTACCAAACTAGGGTCGTACGCTATTGGCCACGCCTTCAACATGCCTGACGTCAAAATGTACAACGGTATACTAAACATCTCCTCGTTCTCCTCCCACATTTCATGACACCAGTCCCATGGCAGTTTACGTGTTGGTAGCTCATCCATAAACAGCAGCACCACTTGCCAAGCACCTCCTCTGATGAATAATGTTTTCAATTCGTATTTATCCATTGCTTCTCGAAATTTCGATTAGAGTACTGAATGATTAAAACAAAAGAAATATTAGCACTTTACTTGAAAAAAAAATTGCGAAAAAACACCGTTCCAGATTTTTTGTTTTTATTTTTGTCTCAAGACTGACAAACCACAAAAAATACTTCGGCAAATTGGACAATAGAGAGTGGTGTTAAGATATTACCTGAGAATTACGAGTTTCGGGGCCGGTTAATTATACGAGGTCTAACGCATACCGCGGTTTTACGGAAGCAAGGGGCCTCAGGCATTCTCTAAGAGAGAGTTGATTTTATTACATAAATGCCCTTTCACTATTAGCTTTCGGCCCTCTTGACACTGTTCACAAAAATAAATGTTCAAATAAAACTTTCGGCCAAATTGAAGATGGCTTAGGACACGGTTTTGTTAAACAACAGCTACACTTAGTTCAAATAACTGGTCCTCAGCGCTTCGACTTAATGTTGTTTGACAACATAGACAACTAGTATGAATGTGTTAACAGTCTCCAACAACAATCTCCTTGTACTCATTTTGTTTTACTTGAATTAAGCATCTAAACCACGATCTGGTCAGATGATAAGAATGAAAAGAAGATCGGCGAAAGTCAATAAAAACAAATGTAATTGAAATTAAATTAACGCATGAGAATAGATAAATAAACCGAAAACAGAAAAAATAAATGGAATTCTACACTTCATAATGTTGTCAATGCAAACAGAATGGATTTCAGCTGGAAAAATAAACAAACAAAAAAATCAAACAAACGGCTAGCGAAGAATAAAATCATAGCCAAAAAAAGAGCTGTAGTCATACTTTTGCTCTGGAAATATTTTCGTGAAATTGCATTCATATGCTGGTTCAAAAAGTTATCTTGCCCATACATGAGTGACAAAAAGAAGAAGGCATGAAGAAAACTTAAGATGCGAGCGAGCGGCCATTTACCTGCGCATGCTCGATGGATAAAATATATACCCGCTGGTCGATGCTTAATCTATCGCCGTACACTGACACTCTTCTCTACAATTAAACATCAATCGAAACTGGAAATTGAAGAGACATGATTGTGACCTGTCTTATTCATTCATTAAAATTGCGCCAGAAAAACATGAAGTGGGTGCGAAAGGAGAAGGCTTTACTGTATTATCGATGAAGACGCAAATTATCTTGAATTGCTCCATGGCGGTAACTTGGGATTCTCAGTATCGTCAATATCCAAGTATGGGTGATGGTTTCAAGACAATTTGAAGATTCAAAATAAATATTACGTACTAAAATGCGAAAGTTATACACCACAAAATTGATGAATAGGCCTGGAATGAAATTCCATCTCGTTCTTGATTATACGTTGCCTAGCACGTGACCAAAATCTACCCAGACGGAAATCCAAAATGACGGTGACAGTCTGGGCTTAGTTATATCACTCAAAACTCGTTCCCGTTTGTCTCATTTGATAAAGAGGGAATCACTGATATTTTCATTAAGCAAGTATTGCCTTGATTTTCCAATATTTACAATGATAGACAGTAAATTTCACTTTTCACCCACATTTACTTCCAACCTTTTCTTTTGAACCAGAAACAAAAATGATATATGTAAAACACATCATCCACCATTGTCAAATGTAATAGCATGATCATTTCAATCGTAATGCCTTCTTACCCCAACGTTACTTTGTTTCTTTGCTACATTAGCGAACACTGAACTACTGCTCGTACTCTAAATATGACAATCAACCACAAAATTCCCTAAACCAGATAACATTAAACATGATTCAAAAAATCATGTAAGGCATCTGTCAATTCACGAGTTTGCTCACAGAGCACTTTGATTTTTTTCGAGGGGGAGGGGTTTAGAAATTCAGAGGGAGGACTGAATAAGCTTTAACGATAAGTCTAGCGCGACGAGGTTCCTTTTGGCTTGGTACGTGCGTTTGATTTTCCTTTCCCTTTTCTGGCTGAGAATACCCAGCGTCTATTTGCTGTGAATTGTAGGCTCTGTCAAAGAACAGAAGCAATCTCTAGATCTGTGCATTTTTTTCTTTTGTACATAAGGTTTAGTGGAAAGGAAGAAGTGGAGAACGAGTAACGTCACAATAAAAAATTGATTTCCTTTTCAGTTTATAAGAGCCTTTTACAGAAATTTCCCAAAGAGTTAGTGTCACTGTTTACTCGGCAGATTTGACTGGAAGTTTTAGTTTTGGTTTTATGGAAAAGTGTTCCTGCCTATCGAAATTACTCGACACTTCCACACAAAGAACCCCCTAAACTAGGCTCTTGCGCAAGCCATTTAGAGTTTTGCTTTTGACCATGGAAGGAGTTACTTCTATTCATCCTGGACCAAATACAAACGGGAAAAGAACCTTCGTGTCCAAATAAAACGGATACGTGTGTTTTAGCCCGTGTTTCTTTCATTAAGGCTCTATTGACGGATTCAGTAAAAGATGGGATCGTAAAAAAACAAAACCACATTTATTAAATTTAACTGCAGTCCTTTCACATATTCAATGTCGTTGGCTAATATACTTCGCAGTTTAGTGTGGTCCTTTAAAAAATATCAAATATATATGTAAAATATGATTTCTACTGAGAGTTGAGAATTTTGGAACAATAACTTAAATATTATCGATTAGATTACATCTACATTACATTCTAAACTATTCCGGCAAATTGAAAAAGGGAGTATACATTGACTACGTAACCCGTACTGAAACAATTTTCTACCATTCGTATGTAATTTAGGAGTATTACAAAACTCCGCTCTTCATAAAATCATCTACTAGGATGAAAAAATTACGAGTTAGAGTACAAGCTTTGCGTAAATTACTTACTAGGTAAAGTCTAAATAAACTAATTTGAACGAGAATACAATTGGTTTTACAACGCCTACATTTGGCTTCGAAAATGAACAAGGCAGGAAAAAACATTCCAAATATTTAAATGAAGCTTAAACATTATACTCTTGGAGTCTACTACCAAAAAATATGAAAGCCTTAAAAAAACTTGAGGAAATATGTTGTTATTTCATTTATACGTCACTTATTCCTGTAGTCTTTTCAAAGTTTTCTTTTAGTAGACAACGATATTCTTTAGATAGGTTATTAAAATATCATTCAATATTCTTGGCATCTTATTACAGCTGAAGCACCAGTATAACCCTGTAGCTAAAACATTTTTTACAAAATTTTTGACACTGTTACCAACAGATCCTTTATACGAAATTACAGTTGCATTTATAGTCTAATTTTTAAAACAGTGAAATTCGTCTATCCAACAATGAACGTTTAATAATCATTTGTGTCATGATACCGAGTCATTCTTCAATTCTTGATCGCGATGTTTCGGCTGCCTCACTGCTGGTCATTTTTAATACTCCGTTCAACAAGTGATAGTGACTAGAAGGTCAGTTATCGAATTAAGCACCTTGAACAATAATCTCTAAGTTGTCATTTATAAAAATGGAATTTATTTCATGACAAGCGAAACGTAACAGGGGGAACCTGTCAGGTCTCTGTGACTCTGACTTGTTACTTGATCTACTTTGTAGTTGAACGGGAAAGTTGTGCTCCTCTAACTTCCCAATCAGTACCAGTTAACATTTGAGACAAATATTTTTCGCCTTCATCTGTTACATTCCAATTTGCGCGGAGGTTTAAGCGCTGTAGTTTGCAGTTGGTATCAGTCAAGGCCTTACACAGGTACTTGATTCCTTCATCTCCAAATTCATTGCCGCGTATGTCTAAACTTGTTAATGTACAGGATCCGTTGGTTAAAAATTCAGACAATTCTTTGATTCCTCCATCTCCTAATCTAATAAAACTGATTTTCAATTTGGTTAACACACAGTTACTGCTGGTAAGTGCATCACACAAGTGTTTAATTCCGTTGTCTCCCCACCGAATGTCACTGGCGTTTAAGCTTGTTAATCTGCTGGTTAGCGCGTTACACAAGTGCATGATTCCTTCGTCTCCTAACCAATTGTTACTGACGTTTAAGCTGGTTAATGTACAGTCAGTGCTGGTTAGTGCGTTACACAAGTATACGATTCCTTCGTCTCCCCACCTATTCTCACTGACGTTTAAGGTGGTTAATCTGCAGTTAACGCTGGTTAGCGCGTTACACAAGCGCATGATTCCTTCGTCTCCCCACCTATTCTTACTGACGTTTAAGGTGGTTAATCTGCAGTTAACGCTGGTTAGCGCGTTACACAAGTGCATGATTCCTTCGTCTCCTAACGTATTGTCACTGACGTTTAAGCTGGTTAATGTACAGTCAATGCTGGTTAGTGCGTTACACAAGTATACGATTCCTTCGTCTCCCCACCTATTCTCACTGACGTTTAAAGTGGTTAAATGGCAGTCACTACTGATCAGCGCTTCACACAGGTATTTTAATCCTTGACTTTGTAAACCAATGCCATTCAGTGTCAAGCTGTAAAGTTCACTCTGAGGAAGCGCTGTACTCAAGTTCTTCAAACCTTCATCAGATATCCGACTCCTTGAGAGAATTAATCTGGTTACTTTCCAGTCCCTGTTAGTGATCGCTTTACACAGTGTTATCAAATCAGGGTCGTACTCCATTGAATGGTTACTCGGCCACCCATTCAATATGCCTGAAGTCGAACTGTATATCACTTCATTAGACACCTCCTCGTCCTTGTCCTCGTTATGAATTATACCACACCAGTCCCGTGGTAGTTTAACCCTGGGGAGCTCATCCGTAAACAGCAGCACCACCTGCCATGCACCTTCTCTGATGTGAATAGTAAGGAATGCTATCAATTCGTCTTTATCCATTGCTTCTCGTAATTCCTCTAAGGCACGAGGTGGTTGGAGTACTAAAGGATTAAAACAAAAGAAATATTAATTTTTACTTGAAAACATTACAGCGAAAAAAACTACCTTTACATTGTTTTTGTCTAAAAACTGACAAAAAATACCTAAACAAATTGGAAACAAGAAAAAATCGAGTCTCCGTGTTTCGACTTATTGTTGAATCATCCCAAGTAAAAGGAAACCAGTTGGGAAAACAAGGAGACGGACAGAATGAACAATAAAGGTCGTGCGATACCAAAAACATTAAGCTAGGCCCTTTTTCTTTTTGTTTTCCAAGAAGTCTTAAAATGTCAGCAAATCATTTGCGAAGGTGTAAATCATTGTCATAAAGTTTTATTCCAATATTATCTTTACCCCATTAGTAATCTAAAACTCTTAGAGTCGAAAATGCGTGCGAGAAAAGTTGCATGCTGTTGTTGTTTTTTCCCAAATCTGGTTTTAAAATTTCAGAATATTTTCAAGAACACAAGAGAAAAAAATTGTTTTCACTTTGCAAACATAACAACAAAGTATTAGTGTTGATAAATGGAAAGAGACGTCTTTTTCTTGAAAACACGATCATAAAGTACTAAAGTTACACCACATAAGCGACCAGCTTTAACATCAGAATTCTATATACTTATGGACTGAGTAGGAGGGTCATGTCGGTCCGGCCTGATCTTACTCAGTCAATCAGATTTTTATTCCATGAACGCCGCTCTACCCATTCTACTTTCTTCTCGCATGGACGCACGCTTGGCCCCGCAGCTTTTAATGCCCCTGCCAGGGCAACCAGGCATGGCCTTCATAAAGGGGTTTATTTATAAATCTTTTCTTTTCTTATAAGGAACGGGCATTAGACCGCGCAGGTCATTTGATGATTATGTAAAGGTACCAGGTCTACTGAGAAAGAGAAAAACCCAACACAAGATCACAAATCTGGGTTAAAAGAAAAATTCCTTGACCATTACACAAACCCAGCATTTCTCAATAGTCTTACCACCGAATATAGATAGCTGGACATATGTTTCAAAGCCAATACAAGCTTATTTTAACAATGTTAAGTACCTTGCTTGCGGAAGTGAAGTTTGGCTGACTCATTTAATAAGTAGCTGACATAGTTCTGGAGTTCCTCGGGTAAGCTGACATCAAACTTCGCCAGTCCTGATCTAATGGTCGGATACATGGCGTTCTTTGATGCTATCATGAAGGACACAAAAAGACAAACTATTTTAGTACTTAAGGTGACATTCTCAGTTCAGAGAAATTATTAAAATGAGGAACTACTTAAAAGACAACGTAAGAGTCAATGTTGTCATTAACTGTGAAAGATCACAGACAAGCTTGGGGTCAAATTTAAATTTATCATTTAAAGATACCACCAACACGTTTTGTCGATCGTTTCCAACATGGAACATTCATGCAAAAGTTCTTTAATGCACGAGCTACACGAGGGTCTCAATGGGGTGATGGCTTTTACGGCTAACGGTTAAAATTTTGGCCATATTAGGGCTAACTTTTTCTTGTTAAGGAGTTTAAAAGAAACATTTCTTTGGTTAACCCTTTGTAATCTAACGTTATAGTTGAGGGAAAAGAGAATTTGTCGAAAATTATCGCCCCGTGTCGTTACTTCCAGTGATCTCTAAAGTTCAGGAGCAGTGTGTGGCCTCGCGCCTTGTCCCTCACGTTAAGAAGATCTTGTATCCTTTTCAACATGGTTTTCAGAAGGGCAAGTCTTGCGTTACTCAACTTATTGAAGTATTCTATGACATTGGTCATGCACTGGACCGCAAGTTAGAATCAGACATAATTTACTTGGACTTTGCCAAGGCTTTCGATTCTGTGTGCCCGGCAAAGCTCGTGTTGAAGCTAAAAACGTTTGGAATCGATGATCCACTATTCGCCTGGTTTTACTCATACCTAACTGGAAGGCGTCAAAGAGTGGTTACAAATGGAACTTTCAGTAATTGGACTGGCGTTGGGTCAGGTGTATCCTAGGGGTCACTTCGAGGACCGATTCTCTTTTTATTATTTGTAAATGACATGCCAAATGTAATTAATAGTGTGACGCTCGCTATGTTTGCTGACGATTCTAAATGTTATAGGATCATAAATAATGATGCTGATTTTTCGAAATTGCAGCAGGATTTAGTTTCGCTTACAACTTGGTCCTTGTCAAATGAATTCTATTTTCAGCCTACAAAGTGCAGTAATCTGCGTATATCTAGGAAGCGTATTAGTTCATATCGTAGCTATAGTATAAATGGTATAGATGTGGAGGTTGTCTCAACTGAAAAAGATTTGGGGGTAGTGATCGTAAGTGACACCTCTTGGAAGGATCATATACTCATGATAGTTGCTAAAGCAAATAGGTTAATGGGCTTTATTAGAAGGAGCTACGCAGGAATTGTTGGTAGTGTTCCGCTGTTGCGTCTTCACTGTTCCTTAGTGCGTTCGCACTTTTGCTATTGCACTCAGTTATGGACACCTTAGTCTGTTATCAGCAATTTATTCTTAGTTGAAAATGTGCAAAGAAGAGCTACACGCTTTATACTAAAAAGAAATAGTAGTAACTTATCTTATAAGGATCGCTCAATCAAACTTAAGTTATTGCCGCTTAGTTACTGGCTTGAATATCTCGACTTAGTTTTTTTTTTAAATGTCTTCATGGTCATACTGATCTAACTCATTCATTTAATTACTATTTGTCCTTTGTTACGAGTCAGACGCGTCAAGCGTGCTCAGGGCTGAACTTAAAGATTAATAAAAATCGTACATCAACATTTCGCGACTTCTATTTTAATAGGATAGTAAATTTGTGGAACAATATACCTAATGATGTTGGGCAGGCTGAGTCTATTGACTCTTGTAAGCGTAAACTTAAGTCGTTTCAACGTTTTTGATGGCGACCACTTTCTTACCTTTAAAATAATTTGTCCTAAATGTCGCCGGGTAAATACCCTTGTTGCGTGCACTTGTCACGCGGCCTATTTAGTCTATTTATATTATTAAGTTATTTTAGGAGGGGGTTGGGTTGGAGCTTAAACCTAGTAGGGGACTTATGTCCTATTGTTTTTGCTCCGGTCATGCTTTGTACAAATCCTTAAATAAATAAATAAATAAATAAGTTAAGGATCTTGGAATTCACATCACATCAAATCTATCATGGAGCCTGAAAACAAGGCAAACAGCGTGCTCCGATTTACAGGTCGAACAAAGGGCCACAGGATTCCTAAATTGTTCTCGAAATTGTACATGAGTTTAGTACGTCCAATACTCCAGTACTGCTCTCCAGTGTGGTCTCCACACCTCAAAAAGGACTCGGCTATTTAAGAGAAAGTGCGACGCAGAACACCTAAATATGCAATCAGAAACATTGCCCGAGATATGTCATATGAAGAGCGCTTAAAGGTCCTTAAATGGCCAACTCTACATCAGAGAAGATTATTTTCTTCGCTTACCGAGTGCTATGAGACGGCTAACAGTCTTGGGCTACACCCATTGGAGTATTTTACATTTGCGCATGATTTTCGACCATTAAGAACCAACCATCGCCATAAACTTAAACCATTGCCCGCAAAGCTAAACAGTTTTAAGTACTCTTTCTGTGCAAGTATAGTCAATAAATGGAATAATTTACCTAAAATAGTTGCAGAGGCAGAAACTCTGAACATTTTCAAGAGCAGAGTCAGACGCCATTTTACTAATTTTCTGGGAAATTTTGAACTATTTTCCTGTAATTTTTAATTATTTTAGGAGACAAACTTGAAAGGGGTAACCTCTTTTGTTTCCTTTTTACCTTTCATTAAAATTTGAATTGCGAATAAACAGTTATGTTATGTTAAGACTTACGGTTGAAATTCGTCAATTTTTACGACTACCGGCAAAATGTTTTCGCTATATTACGGTTAACGGTTAGCCCCATTGAGACCCTCCTACATGTAATACAGTTCACTGACATGCATTAGTACTACATGCACTATTGAAGCAGCAATATGGAAATGCTAATAACCTCTGGTAACGCGATGTGGTCATCGTAACTCTGAGGTGATTTACACAAAGGCTCCTCAACGTTCGACACACAAACTCAATTTAAAAACTGCATGTGTACACCTTGTTCTGAATTAGAGCACAATTTGACGCTTGCGGGGTCTTAACACATCAAGGTTGTAAATAGATACGATTAAAAATGCCTAACCACTCTGATAGAATGCTAGAGTTGTATCCAAGATTCACGACGGTACCGCGCACTTGATGTGCATGCAAATCCCGTTCACTGCAAGCACGCACCACGAAACTACGCATAACATGAAGCAGTACCTGTAATTTTGCATATGTACTAAAATTTGAAAGTTTCTAAGACCAGGATAAGCTTATCCTCAGAGGCCAGTTATTTTTTAACACGCGCTTAGAGGAAATTCAATTTTCCCTGAGCTTTTGTTTCCTTTCTTTTACTATTTTCTTTTTCTGGTGCAATGGGAGGTTGTCTCCTTACTACATGACGGCTGATGGCTGGGTTGCCAGGATTTACCATTCGTGAAAACAGTCTCAATCTAAGTGCTGGGTGCCAATGTAGTAATGTAAATTATATCTTAGGCCTCCAATGAGCATTGCAGTTGTTAATAATTACTGCAGAAAAAGACTGCACGTGTAGGAGTTCCGTGGAAAAAGATACTTCGATAAAGAAGTGGAAGCGTTTAATATCATTCTACTAAAATTGTTTTTTCTCCAAATGTGCATTATATATTCACCTTCCATCTTGACTTCCTTAAGTTCCTGACGTAGCCTTGATACTTTTCCAGAGGTAAAAAAAAGGGAATGTGAACTACCTGAGAGAAGAAGTAAACAGCAAAATGGTTTAAAGAATTTTGAAACACCATTCTTGATTGATAACATTATATAAGAAGAGGGGTTATCTTAAATATGGAGTAAATACACATTATTCAATGCTTCAACACGTAATGAGCGGCGCAGATGTTTTGCAAGTTGCATGCAGGGCTTAGGTATTGGAGAGAAAATAATAGGAGTCCTTTATAACAAACTAAAAGGTAGTGTGTCACCTTTCAGCTTGTTACTTAAAAAATCAAGCCTGAAATACTAGTGGAACTATTTCCTTACATTACTTTCCATATTTCTTTTGCCCTGCTCAACGGAGTTAATACGCATGTTTCACTCACCTTTCTCTCTTTTTCTTTCTTTAAGTATCCAAATAAGATATTCAAGTAGTTCTAGTTCATCTTCAAGATCAGCAGTAAAGAGTTCAGGGGGAGGCAAAGTACCTGAAGGGAAAGGTAAACAGAGAGATACACTGTATTTAGCATTCAGTGCCTTACCTCGCATAAATGGTTAAAAACAGGCATTTAACAAACACTTCACATTGTACTAGGCTCATGTGAAGAACTGAAAGTATTAGATAACTATCTCACTTAATAATTATAAAGGAAGAGGGATCATCTTTACTAAGGAATAGTTTCCCTTGAAATGTATAATTTGAATAAGGAGTGGAAGCATTCATCAATAGTAATAAAATCAGATAACAGATTATTTTAAATAAGGAATAATTTTCCTTGAAAAGTGATAATTCGATACGGGGGTGGAAGCCTTTAACGGCATTCTTGGATTCATTTCTTTCTGATTTTATATTCACCTTCCATTCTGAGCATCTGAAGCTTCATACGTAGTTCAGCTAGTTTTTTCTCAAGATCAATGGTTGAAAGTTTAAGGACAGAAAAATTACCTGAGAGCAAAGGTACACAGAAATATATTTAGCACTTAGTGCCTCACCTGATATAAAAAGTTAAAGCATGATAACGTGTATCGAGGTCAAGTGAAAGAACAATGATGCAAGTTTTCTATTATATCATTGTGAAATAACCTATCTATAAGTAATATTTCATTATCACATGCCACAGCTAATTTAATACTACCTTAAACTGAAGTTGTGGATTAAGAGACAAAACTGAATTGAAAACATTTTCCTCAACAAAACAAAGTTACTGAATAACAGCTGAGAACATTTCACAGCATTCTTGGATGAAAGTAAAGACAAAAAATGGTTAATATCTCAGGTAGGGAATCATTTCTCTTAAAGTGTTTACTGGAAAAAATATGAATTCATTTCATGGCATTGAGCTATTTACATGGCTAAAATATTTAAAAAATATAGAAAGCAAACATTTTCGACACTAGGTCATCATCACCCTGATGATGACCTGGTTTCGAAAATGTTTGGTTTTTACCTATTAAATATCTTAGTTTATTTTTTAAACCTAACCAAACTTTATGGAGAGTTGTTAGCATTCTTGTACCAGTATCTCTCTAAAAAGTGACAAGATATGAATTTTTCTATTCACCTATCATTCTCAGCATCTCAGTTTCCTCAAATACTTGCTCTAGCTTTTCCTTAAGATCAGTGGTGGGGAGAGAGTGGAGAGAACCTGGGGGTAAAGGTATACAGAGCTTTTCAAAATTCAGTGTCTGACTTTAAACATAAAAGATAGCAACAGATATACTTGTGCAAACAGCAAATTATTGTCATATTAAAGTAAAACAGTGTAAGTTCTTCATTATAACTCCACGATCATCGTTGAAAACAACTATTGTGTATTTTTACCACATGCCGACTCTATACCATCCTTAGCTAAAGTATAGAATGAAACAATGTCAAATTTGGATTAGTCTACAGTTTACTCTAGCCTTGCGTACCCCTCACTATTACAGACACCTCGCCACTGCAAACAAGAGCCAGCCCCTGGGGAAAAGCATGAAGAAATGACTGAAATAAATTCCCTTTAAAACGGACTCTTCCTTTTACCGAAATGTAGACACTTTCAAGCCCCCCAACACGAAGTTTCACTCGTTTTTTTCTCTTGCTATAACAGACACTTAATGCTTCATCCAAAATCCTAACAAACATACTATAAAGCGACATTATGAAAAAGGAGAAAAAAGAAACCATTCTTCAACAGGGTGTGAACAAGAGAATTTCCTGCTTGCGGCCAGATCTCTTTCCCGTTTGTGAGGCCACGTTGGAAACTTTATTTCATATGTTAAGAAACAAAACAATTTCCTATCTCTCACACCCCGTTATTACAGACTTTTCGCTATTTCAGACATTTAATCTCCCTGCAGGGTGTCCATAGCAATGGGAGTCAACCCTCAGGGGTAGGGTACAAAGTGAAATTCATGGTGTTACTTTTAATAGCGACACGATAACAGGTCAAACCAACATGCGATTAACTGATTGTATATGATGTACAAAATCTATCTAAACTATATAGTTGTCAGTTTTTTAAGGCATAATTTAAGATCAACACCGATAAAACTTAGTTTAACATTATACACTATTTCACCATCCTCAGCCTCTACCATCTTAATATTCCCTTATAGCAAAACACAGAGCGAGGGAAAACTAAATCGGGTGAAATTTCCTTTCAAAAAAATATTTTGAATGAGAACTAAATGTATTTAAAAGCATTCTTGGTTTAGTTTTACCACAAAATTTAATTTAACAGTCCATTTTTATTCACCTTCCGTTATTTGAAGTTTCTTATGTAGCTCTTCTAGTTCTTCTTCAAGATCAAAGGTGGAAGACAACATGCCTATAAACAAAGGTATGCAGAGAGATATTACCATTCTACTAATTAATAGTTGGGAAAAGGCATACTAACTTGCATTTAAAGATACTAGTAGGTACATGTACACTGTAGATTACCTTCATTTAAAAACAGAAGCTTTAAAACCAAAAAAAAAAACTATTGAGAACAACTGAAAAAAGAAATCACTCTACATGTATGTAACGTTTCCTTAATTCATTGCATGGAAACTCAGCACTACCCTTTAACTAGAGAAGAGAATGAGGCAGAGACACATTTCTAATAATGCGCGCATGTGCAATTTTTTGACGCGCACATTTTTTTAAATTCGCATTTGCATGCGATTTTTGGCGCGTTTTATTCGCGTTTTTTGGTTAATGTATACACGAGCGGTAATGTAATTCTACAAGGAACTGGAAATATTTAAATAGCATTCTACTACAATTATTTTCTCTAAATGTGCATTATTTATTCACCTTCCATCCTCCTTTTCTGAAATTTCTTGAGTAGTTCGTCTACTTCTACTTCAATGGTGGAAAAAGTGGGAGGTAAACTACCTGAGAGAAGGTAGCAAAATGGTATAAAGCATTTAACAGCATTCTTGGTTGATAGCATTATATAAGAGGAGGGGTTAGATCATTCCATGTTTTAACATGTAATGAGTGGTGGAGATATTTCGCAAGTTACATGCAGAACTTAGATATTTGAGGGAAGATAATATAATTAGGAGTCCTATATGACAAACTAAAACCTTTCAGCTTGTTACTTAGAAAAACAAGCGTAAAATACTAATGCAACCATTTCCTTGCATCACTTTCCATATTTCTTTTGTCCTGTTCAATGGAGCCAATACACCTGTTTCACTCACCTTTATCTCTTTGTCTCTCAAGTTCTTTGAGTAGTTCTTTTAGTTTTTCTTCAAGAGCAGCAGTTAAGAGTTCAGGGGGAGGCAAAGTACCTGAAAGGAAAGGAAAACAGAAGGATACACTGTATTTAACATTCAGTGCCTTACTTCACATAAATGATTAAAAACAGGTACTTAACTAGCACTGTACATTGTGTTGGGGTCATGTGATAGCACAGTTATAGTGTCAGTTTTCTGATTAATCTCCTATGGTCATTGTTGAAATCAACCATTTAGAAAAGTTCTCTCATCATAATAAGCCAGAGCCAACTTAATACAGCACAGAATTAGCAAAGACTAAATTAAGAAAAATTCCGTATAAAAGCTAACACTTTACATAATAGCCAAAAGTATAAGACAGCAATCTCACTTAATAACTGTAAAGGAGGAGATGTCATCTTTACTTAGGAATAGTTTCCCTTGAAAATGTATGATTTGAAGAAGAAGTGGAAGCATTCATCAATAGAATAAAATCAGACAACAGGTTCTTTTAAATAAGGAATAATTTCCCTCGAAAAGTGATGATTTGATACAGGGGTGTTTAATAGCATTCTTGGATTTATTTCTCTCTGATAATGAATCGATAAACATTTTATATTCACCGTTCATTCTGAGCCTCTGAAGCAGCCTGCATAGTCCAGCTAGTGTTTCCTCAAGACAAATGGTTGAAAATTTAAGGACAGGAAAACTACCTGAGAGCAAAGGTACACAGAAATATATTTAGCACTTTGTGCCTCACCTGATATGAAAATTTAAAGCATATCATGTATACAGGTCTTGGGAAAGAACAATGAAATAAGCTATCTTTAAGTATTTCTTCATTATCACATGCCACAGTTAACTTGATACTACCTTTGACTAAAATTATGGATTTAGAGGCAAACCTGAATTGAAAATATGTTCCTAACCAAAACTAAGTTGCTGAATAATAGCTGAGAACATTTAACAGTATTTATGGATGGAAGTAAAGACAGAAAAAGGTTAATATCTCAGGTAGGGAATAATTTCTTTTAAAAGTATTTACTGGAAAAAATATCAAAACGTTTAATGCCATTGAGCTATTTACATGGCTAGAATATTTAATCTTCATGGTGATGATTACCAAAAGTATTGAAAATGTTTGATTTTTCCTTTTCTAAAAGAAAAAGCAGATTACCTTTATTTGAACAAAAATGCTATAAAACCGAAAAAAATCTGTTGAGAATAACTGAAAAACTGTTCAGTCTACATGTTTAAAATGTTTTGTAAATATCATCTTTAGCATGTCATCTACAGATTCCTTTAACTAGTCGATCCGAGAAGGGTTCTTGGTAGACTTGAAGTCGTATGTGTCTTAAGAGCGAGTGGTCGTATCAAAGTTGAAGAAGAAGTAAGCTTTCCAGTGCATTGTGCGTAGAAACTACTCGATTTTTTCGACGAGGCGTTGTGAGAAATCGTTCTGCGATGGTTGAATATTCCTATACCATCACGAAACAACTTCTTACGACGCTTCGTCGAAAAAACCTCGGCAAATTTTCTGTTATCTGTTTCTCTCGGTGTGGCGTTTGAAAAGGCCAGTCCGTCGTTTCAGTAAAGTCTTATGTTGATGTTTCGAAGTTGGGAAAGGAGGAAAGGCTTCCTACAAGCTCGCATGTTTCAGCACCGTCGTGGCTGCCCATTGGGACGTCAAATGTTGTATCGACCTTCTTTTACCAAGGTTGCTGTTTGTGCATAAGGATCGACTGTTTTGCATGTGTTACATGATGTTTCTTCGTCGTTGGTGACGTCGTAGGCTGAAGCAAAGTCGAGTACTCTGTTCAGGAGGTCTTGGCTAATGGAGGGATATAATTCTTCGATGTCAAAGTAAATAAAACTGTGTTTTTTGTTTTTGTTTTTAATGGCTTTAAACCACTCGATCACAGATGCCGTGTTGCTCTCGTGATTTTCTGTCGAGGATTGCTTTGCTGATTCTGCCAATCTCGGATTTGGTGGGGTTGATTAGTCGGCAGGTCGGTTTGTCAACGAAGTTCGGTTTGTAGTCTCTCAGAGTTATGAATGATACAGTACCCCTCGCGTATGTGTTAACTGCGAAGACGAATTACATATGCTCAGACGAATTACATATGCTCAGACGCACGGTAGTCAGGCGCACATATACGACTGTTTTGCGCGCACGGTGGCAAAAAATGTGCAACTCATGTGCCTTTGTTATTCAGTGCTATAAGTATCCTTTGCATTACATTGGTGTGTAAACAAAGAACTTTTAGGTTTGAAAATGAGACGAGTCGACAACGGAAAATTTACATAACGAAAAAAGCTATAATGCTACACTGACGCGTGTCGCATCGCTTCGCGAATTTACGGAATAACGAGTAGTAACAGAAGATTTGCTTGATTTGAGTTGTTGATGAATTAGCTGGGAAGGAAAATGTCACTTACAAAAGGCATCGAAACACGGATATAATTAAGCGAGTAACGAAGCGAATACTCACTAATATTGCTTCCTAATCTCGGGCAACCATAAAAGCCGGAACGGCCGAACGGCGGAATGGCGGAAAATGAGGTAAAACAGCCCCATACTATTGTAAAACAAATCTGTTTTCCTAATGGCAATGTATTGTTTTTGTCGTTGTTTTCTCTATCCAAGAACAGAATGCATAGTGTAGTATGAGGCTGTGCGGAAATTTTACTGAAAATGACCCTAAATCCTAAAACACAGAACAGCGGAAAATGACCACGAGTGAAAAAGCGGGAAAGAGTTAATCATTAACCAAAAAAACAATAATAAGAAAAATATTGCAGTCAATTTAATGGGAAATATTAAAGGAAAAAGAACTGTCGCCCTTATTCAATAAAAACCCCGAATAAAAGGGAAAAAAAAAAAGCTCCGATGTTTCCGTTTTTCGAATCATTTATTGACGGTGCACGACACGTGATTTTATTGTAAGTTTTTATGACAGCTTATGACAAGATCTAAATTTCCTTGTATTCTTTAATAAGTAAAGTCTAGTTGTCAGCGCTTCATTCATAGTTTAACCTTTGGGCCGTCGACTGAAGTAACGAAATCGTATCGTTTTGCCGAAATATATAACTTTTGACAATGTTTTAAGGATCTATTTATTATATTAATGTATTAATTATATTAAATATATATATATTTTTTATTAGACATTCAGAAAGCTTAAAATACTTTTTTTTTGGTTGTCTAAATCAGTCCTACAGTTCTTTTTCCTACTATTCTTTTTCCTTTAATATTTCCCATAAAATTCACTGTGATATTTTTCTCATCTAATCAATTATTTTTGTTTTAGTTAATGATTAATTTTTTTCAACAACACCATTAAACAACACCATTAAAATAAATTAGTGGAACTTATTAGTTTTTTAATAAATGGCGCGATGAACGAACCGGTTTTCGAGAACAGCATGTTCATCGATGATAAAGCTATGAAATAAACATTCGCGCGTGGGTTTGCATTAAGAACGCGACAACTGGTTACAAACGGACGCCTTAGCCGATTCTTCAACTGCTTCTAATTACGATACACTGAGAGTAAATTTATTTTGAATTGCCAAGCCGTTGTGACGGATGTTTTTTTTTCTTAACCGAGTGACAAATAGCTATTTTGATAAAACAATTCAGTTGGAAAATGATAAATTATTTATATATTCCGATTACGAAGTCGCAGTAGTTTGTAACGGCATATCGGGAAGGTCGTTTAGAAAGGTGATTGAAACGAACAAGTTTGCTTGTCGTTGGTAGCCGTGTTGTATTTTAGTGCTATTACATCATAGTCTATTCTTTAAGACGGTAAACCGCCAACAATAGAAAAACAAAAGGACCACCTCGTAGATACTACTAAGGCAGACGTATCAAGCTTATGCGCGCACGTGCGATTTTTTGACGCGCACATTATTCGCAATTGCATGCGTTTTATTTTTCCCTTTTTCGGTTAACGTATACGTGAGCAGTAATGTAATTCTACAAGGAACTGGAAGTATTTTAATACCATTCAACTTCGATTATTTTCTCTCTAAATGTGCATTATTTATTCACCTTCCTTCCTCCATTTCCGAAGTTGCTTGAGTAGTTCGCCGAGTTCTACTTGAATGGTGGAAACAAGGGGACGTGATCTACCTGAGAGAAGAAGTAAACAGCAAAATGGTTTAGAGAATTTAACAGCATTCTTGGTTGAAAGCATTATATAAGAGGAGGGGTTATCTTAAATATGGAGTAGATACACACCATTCCATGTTTTAACACGTAATGATTGGCGCAGATGTTTTGTAAGTTGCATGCAGGGCTTAGATATTTAAGAGAAGATATAGAGGATATTACATGGCCACTTGGGGATACGAATTTTATCTTCTCGTGCTGACAGTATTTCTCAGCGGAGCTCACTCGTGAGAAATACTTTCTGCACGAGAAGATAAAATTCGTATCCTCAAGCGGTCATGCAATGTGCTGTTTATTCTAAAGATACTGATGAAATTCCTACATAAAAGACAACTTTTTTAAAATTCATTTTCGAAACAGCAAAATAGTGCAATTAAAGTGGTCACCTATCGCAAAATGCCTGTCATAAAAATGTTATGAAACTGGGATATAAAGTTATAAAGGAGAAATAAAGACAATAACATTTATATTTTCTGTTCCAAAAAGTCAAAATTCTAATGAAGAAGGGAAAAATTCTATAACAGCAAAAGAACTGGTCTGAGCGGGAAACTCTCTTGTAATTGGCTAATCATGTTAGTAACCATGGCGACATTACTATCCTCACACATGAAAGATAAAAATAGTATCTTCACTGCGTGCGATGAAGATATGACTTTTTAGTAAAATAAAAAATCCTGGTATTTCATCAGTATCTATATAATAAAATACAATTAGGTGTCCTCCATGACAAACTAAAAGCTTTCAGCTTCTAACTTAAAAAAAGCCTAAAATACTGGAGCAACCATTTCCTTACATCACTTTCCATATTTCTTTTGCCCTGTTCAACGGAGCCAATACACATGTTTCACTCACCTTTCATTCTGAGTATAGTAAGTTTGTTACGTAGTCCTTTTAGTTCATCTTCAAGATCAGCAATAACGAGTTCAGGGGGAAGCAAAGTACCTGAAAGGAAAGGTTAATAAAAGGATACAATGTTTTTAGCATTCAGTGCCTTACTTCACATAAATGATTAAAAACAGGCATTAGACTAACGCTGTACATTGTGTTACAGTCATGTGATAGCACAATAACTATTATTATTATTATAGTGTCAGTTTTCTGATTAATCTTCTATGGTCATTGTTGAAATCAACCATTTAGAAAAATTGTTTCATCATAATAAGCCACAGCCAACTTAATATTCCCTTTCACCACAGCACAGAATTAACAAAAACTAAATTAAGAAAAAATTCCTATAAAAGCTAACACTTTACATAATACCTGAAAGTATAGGACAGCAATCTCACTAATTAGCTATAAAGGAAGCTGGGTTATCTTTACTAAGGAATAGTTTCCCTTGAAAATGTATATAATTAGAATAAGAAGTGGAAGCATTCATCTGTTCAATAGTAATAAAATCAGATAACAGGTTCTTTAAAATAAGAAATAATTTTCCTTTAAAAGTGATAATTCGATACAAGGGTTAAAGCCTTTAATAGCATTCTTGGATTTATTTCTCTCTGATAATGAATCAATAAACACTTTATATTCACCTTCAATTCTGGGCCTCTGAAGCTCCGCCCATAGTTCAACTAATTTATTCTCAATGGTTGAAAATTGAAAGAAAGGAAATCCACCTGAGAGCAAATGTACACAGAAATATATTTAGCACATAGTTCCTAACCTGATATAAAAAGTAAAGGCATAATAACATCTATTGAGGTCAAGAGAGAGAACAATGAAATTAGCTATCTAAGTATTGTTTCATTATCACATGCCACAGCCAATTCCATACTACTTTTAACTGAAATTATGGATTTACATGTACAGTGGCAAAACTGACTTGAAAATATGTTCCTTAACTAAACTAAGTTACTGAGTAAAGCTGAGAGCATTGAACAGTATTCTTGGATGAAAATAAAGACAGGAAAAGGTTAAAATCTCAGATAAGGAATAATTTCTCTCAGAGGAATTTACTAGAAAAAAAAGTGAAAATATTTAAAGGCATTGAGCTATTTACATGGCTAAAATATTTAAAAAGTAATAAAAACCAAACATTTTCAACACTAGGTCATCATCACCCTGATGATGACCTAGTGTCAAAAATATTTGGTTTTTACCTATTTAATATGTTAGCTCATTTTAAACCTAAGCAAACTTTATGGACAGCATTCTTGGATCAGTTTCTCCCTAAAAATGATAAGAAATGAATTTTTCTTTTCACCTTCCATTCTTAGCATCTCAAGGTTCTCACATACTCTCTCTAGCTTTTCTACAAGATCAGTGGTGGAGAGATGAGGGGGAGATGAAGAACCTGGGAGCAAAGGTATACAGAGCTTTTCAAAATTTAGTGTCTTATTTTACACAGAAAAGATAACAATAGTTATACATGTGCAAACAGCAAATTATAGTCATGTTAAAGTGAAATAGTCTTCGTTCTCTATTATAACTCCAATGATCGTTGTTGAAAACAACTATTATGTATTTTTACTGCATGCCAACTCATTACCATCTTTAGCTAAAGTAGAGAATGAGACAATGCCAAATTTGAATTAATCTACAATTGACTCTAGCCCTGTGGTCACCTCACTATTACAGACACCTTGCCACTGCAGACAAGAGCCAGCCCCTGGAGAAACACATACAGAAATGACTGAAATAAATTCCCTCTATAACAGACTCTTGCTATTGCAATAATGCAGACTCTTTCCTGCCCCCCAGTATGACTTTTCACTCATTTTTTCTCTTGCTATAACAGACACTTATTTACTTTGTTCAAAATCATGACTAGCATACTATGAACCAACATTATGAAAAAGGGAAAAAGAAACCACTCTTCAATTGGGTGTAAACATATGAAATTTTCTGCTTACAGCCAGATCTTTTTCTGGTTTGTGGAAACTTTATTTCATATGTTAAGAAACAAAACAAATGTTTATTTCTCTTGTACCCCATTATTACAAACGTTTTGCTATTTCAGACACTAAATCTCCCCCTGAGGGTGTCCACAGTGATGGGAGTCAACCTTAAGGGGAAAAGTACAAAGAGGAATTCATGGTGTTATTTTTAATAGCAACATGATAACAGGTCAAACCAACATGTAATTAACAGATTACATACTGTGTACAAAATCTATCTAAACTACACCACAGTCAGTTTTTTAGATGATTTAAGATCAACACTGGAAAAACTAAGTTTATCATTAAACACTGTTTCACCAACCAGCCTCTACTACCATAACATCCTCTTATAGCAAAACACAGAGTGATGGCAAACTACATTGGGTGTAATTTCCTTTCAAAAAAAATATTTTGAATGAGAACTACTTGTATTTAAAAGCATGCTTAGTTCAGTTTTACTATTAAAGTTAATTTAACAGCATCTTTTATTCACCTTCCATTCTTTGAAGTTTCATTTGTTGCTCTTCTAGTTCTTCTTCAGAATCAGAGGTGGAAGAACCAGGGAGAGGAAACATGCCTAAAAACAAAGTTATACATGGAGAGATTAGCATTGCTACTGATAAATAGTTAAAAACAAGCATACCAACTTGTAGCTATAAGGATAGATTTAAAAAAGCTCTTCAAAACATCCATTTCAAATACAAACCTGGGAGCAAAGGTATACAGAGCTTTTCAAAATTTAGTGTCTTATTTTACACAGAAAAGATAACAATAGTTATACATGTGCAAACAGCAAATTATAGTCATGTTAAAGTGAAATAGTCTTCGTTCTCTATTATAACTCCAATGATCGTTGTTGAAAACAACTATTATGTATTTTTACTGCATGCCAACTCATTACCATCTTTAGCTAAAGTAGAGAATGAGACAATGCCAAATTTGAATTAATCTACAATTGACTCTAGCCCTGTGGTCACCTCACTATTACAGACACCTTGCCACTGCAGACAAGAGCCAGCCCCTGGAGAAACACATACAGAAATGACTGAAATAAATTCCCTCTATAACAGACTCTTGCTATTGCAATAATGCAGACTCTTTCCTGCCCCCAGTATGACTTTTCACTCATTTTTCTCTTTGCTATAACAGACACTTATTTACTTTGTTCAAAATCATGACTAGCATACTATGAACCAACATTATGAAAAAGGGAAAAAGAAACCACTCTTCAATTGGGTGTAAACATATGAAATTTTCTGCTTACAGCCAGATCTTTTTCTGGTTTGTGGAAACTTTATTTCATATGTTAAGAAACAAAACAAATGTTTATTTCTCTTGTACCCCATTATTACAAACGTTTTGCTATTTCAGACACTAAATCTCCCCGGGGTGTCCACAGTAATGGGAGTCAACCTTAAGGGGAAAAGTACAAAGAGGAATTCATGGTGTTATTTTTAATAGCAACATGATAACAGGTCAAACCAACATGTAATTAACAGATTACATACTGTGTACAAAATCTATCTAAACTACACCACAGTCAGTTTTTTAGATGATTTAAGATCAACACTGGAAAAACTAAGTTTATCATTAAACACTGTTTCACCAACCAGCCTCTACTACCATAACATCCTCTTATAGCAAAACACAGAGTGATGGCAAACTACATTGGGTGTAATTTCCTTTCAAAAAAAATATTTTGAATGAGAACTACTTGTATTTAAAAGCATGCTTAGTTCAGTTTTACTATTAAAGTTAATTTAACAGCATCTTTTATTCACCTTCCATTCTTTGAAGTTTCATTTGTTGCTCTTCTAGTTCTTCTTCAGAATCAGAGGTGGAAGAACCAGGGAGAGGAAACATGCCTAAAAACAAAGTTATACATGGAGAGATTAGCATTGCTACTGATAAATAGTTAAAAACAAGCATACCAACTTGTAGCTATAAGGATAGATTTAAAAAAGCTCTTCAAAACATCCATTTCAAATACACACATACAGTAAGTCACATGACCATCTCTATAAAGTGCATGAAATTTACCTTAAATACGAAATTTAGGGAAAACTAAATTGGGTTTTAATTTCTTTCAAATTAATCTTTTTAATGAAGAACTGAGAGTATTTCAAATAATTGTCAGTTTAGTTTTACCCTATAAACCCTAGCAACCTTAAATATCTAGTCCCAAAAGCACACTTCTTCACACTTGACATTATAGCTGAACACACGGAACATATCCACTTTAGAAATCAATTCAAACTGAGCTTCCTGTTCACCTTTCCTTCCCTGTGCTTTTCCTATAAGTTTTTTTCTAAAATAATACCAATGCCACATTACTGCATTGAGATAATTCTTCAAAGCTTTGTCAAATAATAAATTGTTATTACTGTTCACAGCAACTTTCCTTAACAACTTAATACGTCTTTTAATTTTGTTTTCACCTTTCAGTTTCTCTGTCTCAACAATCTTTGTCTTCTGTTTCCATTTGTTCAGCTCTGCTAGTCTTTTTGGCCTTTCAATGGTTGAACTTATGGAGTGGAATTCAGAAGATGAGGCACCTAAAATCAGATTTAAAAGAAAACAAATAATGAGGCAACCACTAAATAGTGACATTCATAACCATACAACGTACCTCAAATCATTTTTATAAAAACCCCACACACAAATACAGGTATCATTTTCTTTTATAGCTCCTTCAACTAAAATCTTGCCAATTTTTATTTTAGCTTGTTTTATTTTCTTTATATTTGGAACCAAAGATAAATACAACCAGACAGAAAGGAAATGACAATGCCAAATTTGGATTAATCTACAGTTGACTCTAGCCCTGTGGTCACCTCACCATTACAGACACCTTGCCACTGCAGACAAGAGCCAGCCCCTAGAGAAACACCTACAAAAATGACTGAAATAAATTCCATCTATAACAGACTCTTGCTATTGCAATAATGCAGACTCTTTCCTGCCCCCGAGTATGACTTTTCACTTGTTTTTTCTCTTGCTATAACAGACACTTATTTACTTTGTCCAAAATCATGACTAGCATATATACTATGAACCAACATTATGAAAAAGGGAAAAAGAAACCATTCTTCAATTGGGTGTAAACCAGATCTTTTTCTGGTTTGTGGAAACTTTATTTAACATGTTAAGAAACAAAACAAATGTTTATTTCTCTTGTACCCCATTATTACAAACTTTTTGCTATTACAGACACTTAATCTCCCCCCGAGGGTGTCCACAGTAATGGGAGTCAACCTTAAGGGGAAAAGTACAAAGAGGAATTCATGGTGTTACTTTTAATAGCAACATGATAACAGGTCAAACCAACATGTAATTAACAGATTACATACTGTGTACAAAATCTATCTCAACTACATCATTCAGGGCGTGAAATTGCGCCTAATACAGGCGCCAATGCGACTAAATTTTTCACTTTGGCGACCAAATCCTGAAAGTTAGTCGCCAAATTGGCGACTAGAACGTTTCATAAATCCGTCCACAGGACGGGTTACTGGGAAGAGATTTTTGAGAAGAACAAAACATCAAATGAAATGTCGTGCAAACAAAATACAGTACAAAATACAGTACTTCTTGCATTGGCATGGTTTACATACTGTAGTCTGCAAGAGTTTATTCAAGACACAAGTTCCCTAAATCTTGATAAAAAGATGGACCCATCCCTTAATGACATGTACCTTACCATACTTCATGTTGAAAGACTGATGAATTCCATCCAAAACCCTTAACAAACACTTTATGATAGGACCAGACCTTGTTACATTATTTCTACCAACCTCTAAGTGCACCTTTCTCAAAGAACATTTTGCATGCATTGTACTCTTCTACATCCATTGTTGTCTTCAGCCTCAGCTCAGCCAGGTTCAGTTCCTTCAAGATCTTCTCAGTTACAAAACAATTCTGAACCACTTCACCAAGATGACCAGATGAGTAATCTGTCCACAACTCCTCCAAGATCATTAGAGATTCACACTTCACCGTTATGACCAAACTTCCTTCATTAACATCAGTAATAATGTACTTCATTCCTTTTGCGTATTCCATGAATTGAATGCACTCTTCAATGGACTGTGGATTTGTGTTGTAGAAAGAATCTTTAATAATTGATAGAAAGGTTTTCGCTTTTAGAGCACGGAGATCTTCTGTCTGTTGATAGGACACACTTCCAGATGCAGCTGTTGTGGCAGATGCCCTAGGCTGCTGAACTTCTCTGCATCTGAAAGACTCTGTTGTCAACATGCCAGTCTGCATATTCTGTTCTTCAAGTTTCAAGTCATCCACATCAACGTTAATCTTCATTTCACCACCTGTGAAATTGTAACATTCAAATTTAATCCTAATAGAACAAGGTTTTTTCACCTCTTACCTATTTAAACATTAAAATGCAAGAACATTATAACAAGGGAACACCAATCAAACACAGAGCTTGCTACTAATTAATAGATACCAACAACATTTTAATGAAGTGAAAACGATTACCACATACAGTATATGTATTGCTTCAGTTTCAGTTTCTTTTACATCTTCATTTCATTCTATGATAGTAGAATCAAAATTCTGATTGATCTAAAATATTACAGTTTCAAACATGGAAATATCTAAATAGACTTAGCTAAGGTGAAACATAGGCATGCCTAGCATGCAAGAGTTATTTTTCTCGCTGGGTGGGTTGAGATGAGACACTTAGTCTACCTAATGTTTTCATTTTTAATTTCCAAATGAACAAAAATATCGTAAAACTTCACCTTAAGAGAAAGAAAGTAAAACCCTAATTTAACTGGAAGTCACCCACGGTGAAGCGAAGGGAAGGCTGTGTGTGATTCAGATGCTGCAGGAAGCTATCAAAGTTCGTGAGATCGAAGATGGTGAAGGTGTCTTCTATGTAGTGTTTCCGATCCCAAGGCCCGATAGGAACGATAAAGTGATTACCTCCTCTTCGAATTCAAAACACTCCATGTACCAGTTTATAAAATGACTATATCATGAGAAAAAACTGTTTTACTTCCCATATAATAAAAGTGTAACTTGGAGTTATCAGCGGTTTATTGTGATATTTCCTTCTTTTCTGATTACGCTCTGTTTTTGGTTTAAAGTTACAATGTAGTTTGGACAATCAATCAAAAAGAGCTGTGCACTTTAGATTAAATGTAGCAAGTTTGAAAAGAAAAGGAAAACTTAACTTCACATATGTGTCAAGGATTAAAATATTTTCTTTAATTTAAGACAATAATTGTGGATTTTCTCGTTTGCTTCAGGGAATCTTTTTTTTTCATCAACATCTTATTTGCCGGTCTTTTAGAAAACTACACTTGTCATTATTTATCTAAGGAACTGTAGAAAAGGTTATTTCTGACCGAAAAGTTCGACAGATTTCAGCCACATTTTAAATATGTCCAATATCTTCCTTTTTATTGTTGTTACACCTTGGTGTGTAAACCAGAAAATTCGCAGATGATACCAACCTTTACTAAACTGCTTAAATGTCTTGACAGTTTTTGTTTCAGTTAATGGAAATTGTATTTGGCTGGTTTTTCATTAGTACTTATTGCTGTTAATGCATGTACTTAAAACAAAATGACCCTTAGTTTTTGTTCTGTATTTGGTATGTGGTTTTGATTTGGCCTTAGAATTATGTTTGGTTGAAACTTTCAAACAAATATCAATTTTTGCCAGAAATTAGCAAACTTCATGTTTTGGCGAACACCTGTCTCACAGTTCCAATCAATCGACAACGAGGAACACACAGTCAGGTATTTTATGGTCTATTGTCTCTAATGTCTAAATACTTCTAAACAAAAATAAAACACATTGGTGCCATGCTTACTGTTGTCTCCTTCACAGCTGTTGTTTGGTCTCATCACACAACACCCCCTATTCCCTGTTTAAGAGAGAGCGCGTTGCGTGACGAGACTAAATAACAGTTGCAAAAGAGACCACACTTACTGCCGTTCCTCTAAAAGAGAGGAAATGACAATTATTCGTCTACAGTTAGTGGCTCCAAAAATAGAATTCCACCTAATTTTACTGTGAAAAGCAAACTGAAACTCTGTTGTATCTCCAATAGAACCTAACCAAAGATATATTGCAATCTTGAATAAGCGAAGATACACTGAACAAGAGAAAAGGATAATATTTCAAAGAGGGCTCCTTGATTGGTTGTTACCCATCTGGACTTTGCTCTGTATGTGTGAAATATGTGGTAAAATGCAGGTTGTTTACAAGAAATTAACATGTGACATAGGAGAATTACATGAAAAGTTCACTATCAGTTGCAGTTAGTTCCATGTGAATTTTTTTCAATGGAGTTGGAAAATGCAGTTGGAATATATGATAAAATGCAGGTTGTTTACAAGGAAATGACAAGTGATATAGTTAAAAATTATACTTCAAATCCACTTGAACCATTAATATCACATTAAACTTCAAATACATTGAATGATAGGCTGCTTGTTTTGTAGGTCCTCGTTATTAGAGGGCTTCTACACCAGTATTCCTTCAAAGCAAATAGCACAGCCAGCAATCATCCAATTTAATAGTACAAATGCAATACACAAATTGTTATTATTGTAAACAACAATGGCCATTACCACCAACTTATAGCCTTGGATTGCCAGTTTTCCTAAATGTAAACTTGTGACATTTCATATGACTACTGCCCTATAGTATTTAGAAACAACTGCTAGCCTGTAAATTTAATATTTGACACAGAACATGTGAGCTTTCTCATTATTTCAAATTTAATTAAAACTTCTGCATTCCTGATGCAAGGTGAGAAAACTTACCGAATGCAAGATTGCACATCTTTTTAACAAGGAAATCACAAGGCTCCTCCCAGTTGAACTTCTGCAAATAGCTTCCATGAAGAATCTTAGCCTCTGCAAGTCGTACACTCCTTTTTTTGTTACGCACAGCCTTTAATGCTCTGGCCCAGTCTGCAGGATCCTCTGAATCCACTATATACTGTGACCCATTAGGCACCTCCCTTAACGCTACTGCAATTCCTGAGTTACCACTGACAAGTACTGGAAGACCAGCGGATATGGCTTCAAGAGCGCTTAACCCGAACCCCTCAGCTTTTGAGGGTAATATAGCAATATCCACTGTAGAGAATAAGTTGGCTAATGTTTCCTTGTTTTCATCAAAGCGGCATATAATTAGCTGATTACGACCAATACCACACTGAAGTAACTTGTTCGCTAATTCATCTTCTTTTCCTCTCTGTTTGGAAGCAAACTTGAGTTGGTAAGATTTATCATTTAGGTTAGCAATAGCTTTCACTGCAATATCGTATCCTTTAACATCAAAATCTTCACTATTACCACTCTCAGTTACCAGGACACAAAATGTTCTTCTTTCATTGCTTGCTAGCTGCACATCTGAAAATTCAGTGAGAATGCTTGGCATCAGGTTAAAAACTTTTCCTTTTCCAAGTTGGTTCTCATATGTATCAGTTAGCTTGGGGCCAATTGTTACAACTTGATCAGCCATTTCACATAGTTCTATTTCTGTTTGTTGCATTTTTTGACCTTCAGAAATACTTTTGTACATGCCAATTTCTTCAGGGGAAGTATGAACAAATTGAATCCATTTGCAATGACTGTAATTTGGATTTTTCTTTATGATTTGAATTTGCCGACCAAGAGCTACTCCATGCCCTAGAACACAATCCATAGCATGGCCTTCAGGTACAGAGGCTAGCCAATCAATTGGTTCAAAACCAGACAGTTTAACAGCTTCAATGAGTTTAACATTATAACTATCAGCATCTTTCTTGTCCTCTTCACTACACTGAGGTAAGAAGACACTGACTTCCACATTGGAATGTTTAGCCATCTGTGTTGCTAGCTCTCTGTTGATGGTTGTCAAGTCTCCATTGCTTGAAGCTTTCCATCCAGCACTCAAAAGGGTTACCCTCAGTTTCCTTTCCCCAGTGTCGTTCTGTAAACACAAGATTTTTGCAATTTAGGAGATTCAATTAGAGTTATAGAAATTATTTTTAAAAAAAACTCATTTTTTGAATTTTTTTTTTTGAAAGACACTTAATTCTTAATTTTCAACTCATTTAGTAATTTCAAAAACTCAATAACCTTTTCCATGAAACAGTAAAGAACAATTGTTGTGGATATCAGGGTTAGTATGATACAACTGTGTAATTTCCTTAACTCTAAGAAGTGACCTGCATCTGTAACTTTTTGATATCATGCAAAAAATGTTACACACAAGTTTTTCCTCATCAGATATTCAGAGTTTGGTTTTGCATGACATGGCAAACTTTAAATCATCCAATTCTAACCAACTTGTATGATCACTTACCATCAAAAAAAAATGTGAAACATGAGACCTAGAACATATTTTCATCAGCTTCAATCATCCCGAAGTAAAAATGTTCAACAATCATTTATGTGGACTTTTAATCTTAAACTGATGTGAACTTATTTTACTCTCCTATAATTTTTTTCCATATCGATTTCCTGCTTAGTAAATACCAGTAATATAAAATTGAAAAGTTTTGTATTTGCAGGCATGTAATTTTCTCCTGAAGTGGCACCAGAGCGAACAAAGCAACTTGGTAGTAGCTGTGATTTTCAAAAGCAGTTGTTTAATATCCTACCTTTAATTGTCCTGACATCACAAGAACCTTAAATGTTGAATAGGAAGTTGCTAAAATGAAAATAAAAAAGATGAATTACTTTCATTACTTATTCACAAAAAATGCCTTAAACCACCAACTGTAGACTACCGTAGTAGACGACAACTGGAAATTACTACTTCTGGCTTATCACAGAGTAATCATATTGCCTTTTTGATCTAGTGAAATTTAATTGACGAAATGTATCCATGAAAAAATTTCTTCCTTCTGAATAGCAAAGAGAAATGAAGTTTTCAGGTAACAATGCAGAGGAGAGGTACATGTACTTCAGTGCTAAAAAGAGGTTATTTTAAAAAGTGCTAAAATTTTGACGAATTGTTTAGCGATTACATGCAGGGTTTGAATAATTATTTTACATGCGATTCCTGTAAATTATAATCGTTAAGAGTTGTCACATAGCTTTGTCATGTATATTAGTTATTAATATGTAGTCACAAGATGTTTGTCATAAAATCTAGAATAAATAGGCACTCCTAAATTTTGTCAGACCACAAATTGCATAGGCCTTACTACAAACTTTTTTTGCGAGGGACATCCGTGAAGACCTGATAGCCTTAAAGATCGAGACAATGTTACACGATTTGTAATTATGATTCAGTCTACTGTTCGTCTTAGAAAAGACGTTTGAAAATAGAAGTGATGAGTTTCTCTCAAGTATTTACCAAAATTTTTCATTTTATTGAGAATTCTAGGCATCATGCATCAAAAGCTAACATGAGTTGGCTTACCGAGACCTCATTGGTATGTTACTGGGTGAAGGTCCCGTATCTATTCCCTTCAGTGTCAGTCTGAAGCTGCAGTTCGCTGATGATCTGAATCACTTCACAGGAGCGGAAACTATTACTTATAGCCAAAAAAATAGACTGGTAAAACACCTTGCTAAACATTAGCATTAATACTATTTCGTGTCGATCTCCGCCTTCTCCTATCGCTTTCGGTTTTATGAATTATTTTAATTGGTTCATTTACTATCACGTGACAGCACTGGGGGAAAGAAAATCCCTCTCTTATCCTGTTATAATATATGACAATTACACCACCCTTCTGGTTTTGCCCATAGCGTAGCGAAAGTACGTCGCAGCTGGTTGAATGCAGGCTCGTTCATTACAAGGGGGAAGGAAAATCTGAGTTAGGAAGGAAATCTGTAAATGGATGTTGGTATGTTCCAAGGGAGAAAAATTCTCGTGACTGGAGAAGGAGGACATTTTGGCCACAAGCTGGGGAGTGAGCTGAAGAAAATGGGAGCAGTGGTTGTATTAAATGACATCTCGCGGCCTCTGGATGAAGTTGTAAACGAGCAAATGTAGTGTTTTTCAGGTAGACTTGACTGGGAAATTACGTAATTTACTTTTGATTTTTTTACCTAAACAGCTCCATTCGGACCTTGCCTTTGTTCTACGCACAGACGAAAAGATTAAATTTTACCATAGGGAAAATACATGGAAGTTATTTCAATTTGCTGTGTCAGACACCCGGTAGCCGGCAGGAAGTGTTTTCTAAAGATTCTAGAATTCTCCCATAATTTCCACTTCACCTTGCGAAGGATAATGTGATATCCTGCATTAAAGTGAATTTTTTTTCTTTAAATCTTATGATAATGTTAAGTCCCATTTTATGTCATAAGATTCATATGTATGTTTTAGGGGGATATAACAAGTATAGAAGATGTTAGAAAGATTATCAGTCATCAGATTGATGTGGTTTTTCATATCGCATCATATGGAATGTCTGGAAGAGAGCAAGTTAGTATGTTGTACTTATTGAGTGAATGTTAGGGCCAGAATAAATATATTTGACTCCAGGTTGTGGATTTATAGATGTACAGTGCTCTGTATTTAGAGTGCTCTGACTCTGTGCTTGTTCCAAATTTCATGACTGAGAATGTTCAACTGGATAAATATTTCCCATTCTGGCCCAATCTTACTCTGACAAAACTGATTTTTTTAGACTGAAATCCTGTCCAATTGAAGCAGCAATACTCCTTTTTGCTTTCTGCTACGGAAACTGGAATAAGTGGCCATGTGATGGTTTATGTAGCCTAACACATTTTAATTAGTATATTACTGCCTTGGTATCTGCGCACAAGTTATTTGTAATCAAGCAAGCAAGCAAGCAAGCAACAAGTTATTTCAAGCTTCTGAAAAAGTTTTAGTTTCCCTCCCACCCACACCATTGACAATTTTGATTGTTTCTTTATTTCATTCGTGTTTGTAATTTATTCCTGATTACAGGACTGTTGTTGTATAGTATTTGTCAAATATCCCCGAGGTAATAGTTTAGTGTGTTATTTACGTAGGATATATACATGTAGTAAACTGTATGGTCCCAAACAAGCTTCTGTCTGTTGTGGTGTATAATTGTTTAATAAAAGCTGATTTTGTTCATTGATCTTTTGTTTGATCTCCAGTAGAGGACTGTTGTTTGTTAAAAGTAAATGAATCAGATGCTTTTTTTTATCACAACCTGAGTGGAAGTTATACCTAGATCATTTGCCTCTGATGATGAATTCCACTCAGACTGTCCTGACACCATGCAGTCAGTTCACTGAAAACTATCCTCCTCAGGGGTAGACAAACCCAAATTAATAGATTACACAATGGACTTATTGAGTATTTTGTCAACAATATTCTGTAAAAGATTGTTATTTACAATTTTTTTATCATAGTGACATAGTTTTTGGTGTTGATACTTTTGGAATCTTCATTGTGAGCAAAGCTGTGTATAACAAATATTTAAGGTGGGATTTTTTTTTTTTTTTAATTAACTGGAGGCAACATTTTTTATCTAGAACTATGAGTTTACCTTAAGTATTAAATATCAGCTGTGTTTACATCCTTAATTGATGAATAAACATTTTCACTCAATAGAAACACAGTAGAATTTGAGATAACACTAGTTAATTAAGCCTAGACCAATCTGCAAGGATTTAAGATTTTATTCAGTTTGGATCGGGATCATTTTTACCCATTTTGGTAGATGAAAAAAAACAGTTAACTTTGATGGTTGCAGCCAGCCAGTGCTTGTTAAAGTAAGGGAGAAATTGATAGACTTAATTAACTGTGATACTGCATCACTGTGATACTCAGAAAATTGTGTGTAAACACCAGAAATATTCATGCAATATATTTTTGTATGTCCCAATAAGGTGTCAGAAAACCAAATTAAATTTTAAAAAAAATTATTGTCGTAAGTATTTGATTTTGAGGGTTACTTGTATGGGTCAAACTTGAATATGATTGGCAGGTGCTCATGTGACTTTTTAGAATCCAATTAAATTGGTTCTCAATACTTAACAGAATAATTATTGTGGCTTGCATTGGGAAATAAGAAACCCCAGAGCAACGTGCTTCACTGAAAATTTTTCATGAGGTAGAATCTACCAAGTAAATATATATTTCTTTTGTATTTGCACTGTCACCAATGAAATTTATAGTGCCTTTAAGGTTACCTCCCACCTTCAGAGGTCACAAAAATCGATTTGAATTTGAAAGCTGAATTCATATATTTAACCCATACGTTTCCATAAAAAAAATTTCTGAAATCTTTAAAAGCAGCCAAGTTCTTTAGAAAAAACATATTTTCATATAAAAGTTATAAAATCAGGAAGGTGTCACAATCGCGGACCTGGGCGAACCCGTGGGGTAATTTTCACGGCAACCGCTCATGTTGGGGCTCGTTTTCTTGTTGTTCCCATAATTTGTTTACATCGCGCACTTTAAAAATTCACTCGTGGAAGCTCTTTGTTTATGGAAAAATCTTTGCTCATGGAAAAATCAAAAGCGGAAGGAAATCCTTGGTAAAAAGGAAAGAAAAAGAAAGCAGGCCCAAAGAAGAAAGAAAGAGTACCATTCTGTCAAGAAAAGAAAAATATTCCTTTGTGAAAGTGACTGGTGCTAGCGGAGCTCCATGCTGGCGTCCAGATTTCGATTAAAGAAGTCCCCGTCGAACAAAAATTTGCCAAACACGCTGTTAAAAACGAGGTTTCCTTTTCTCTATGTTAGTACCGGCCTTGATACAAAAACATGAACAATCACTTCGAATCGTAATTTTGAAAGCAGTATGTCGATTCGTTGTCTTGCTCCTCAGCACCTTTTCCGGTTTTTCCATCTTTTCCGCGGGTTTTTCCTTTGCCTTTGACACTTTGCTCGTTATTTTGTCGTCCTCCTCAACGTTCCACTGAGCGATCGAGGTGAAAAAAAAGACACGTGTCTGCAATGGGTTACTTTTCCCGAGAAATCTCGATCCGTCGTTGATCCCAAGAGATCCCGTTATCCTATTGGTTTGCGCGGGTTTCAGGAGGCGAGATAATCTCCTGGCGTGGCATGAGTTGTTTGCGAACCTTTATGAGCTAACATCTCGCATCTTGGTTTTGGGAGGAATACAACCACTTTGAGCAAATATGAAAGGTATATGGATTTGATCAATTTTCGTCAAATTTCGCCAAAATATCTTAGGAATAATGACAAACGAAAGTGTATCGGAAAATTTCGATATTTGAAATACGCAACACGACTCGCATATTTTTAGCTACATCAACTTTAGATGCCGATATCTAGACAACCAATCAAAATATCGAAAAAAGCTTGACACACTTTTGCTAATTGATGCCTTGTGAATGAGACTGTGTAGCTAATTTGCTCGTGCTGCGGCATCCGATACCCGATAAATTCAACAGAAGAAACCTTCGGTCGTTTCGCGCCTCACCGGCTCCTGACACTTCCTTAAAAAAAGTCGCTTAAATTAAATTTTTATCAAAACTGCAGTTATTAATGTTGTTATCTAATATACAGTTTCCTTGGATTTTAGTGAAACTAGCGCGCGTACGAATTTTTTCCCGAAGGACACTCGCGAAGGTGGGACGTAACCTTAACACTATTTTTAGAATAATGGCAGTGGTAACATTATGAACATCACAGCCACACTTCATTACAATGCCGGGACACCCTCTGCAGGTCTGTAGGAATTGTAGGCAAAAAGGCTTTGCCAGCTGCATAACACGAACAAGTAGATTCATGATTAACTGTTTGGAGTATGATCCTTACAGTCTTACATAATTTTCCTATTCCAACTGCAGTGAAACCTCCATTCAGAGGACATCCTGGGACCAGAGCAAGTGTCCCCTACATAGAGGTTGAGTTTTGTTAATAATTTATCCCCCTAAAAAAGGGTCATCTGAATTGTTATCCTTTGGCAAAAAATCTTTGTCATTAAATGATGTGCAGTATTTAAAAAAAAGGTCATATTGTGAAAGTTGTTGTCATTGTGATTATTGTACATTTAATCTTTGGGATCAGTCAAATTTTGAGTGATTAAAATGGACATTACAACCAGGCTTCAGGACCCAGAAAAAATGTTCTAATCCCTGGAATATAGGTGTCCCTTCCTTTGAGGTAACGGATACAAAGATATTATTGAACATTTTTCTGAGACCAAAGTTTGTGTAATGAAATAATCATGTGGTTATTGTTCATCGTGGTGTAAGATAGGAGATGAACTTTATTCGTTGTCTCACGTGTCACTTTGGATGTTGATCGCGACATTTCGACTGCAATACTCCTAGTCTTCATCAGGCGATGAGGTCGATTGATTACATCTCGTTATTTTTAGCACGTTGGTTCGCTGCTATTGGTGCATTTCGATCCTCATTATTAATATTATTCCGGTTGTTAGATGGTGTTAGGGAATGATGATATGAGGGAACACCATCAACGTTGCGATCAACATCCAAAGTGACTCCCTCGTGAGACACGAATAAAGTTAATCTCCTACCAAAGTTTGTGTTTCCTGAATAGGGGTGTCCCAAATAATCTAAGTAATAAAAAGAAAATATAATGAAGAGATCAAGTGAGCAATCCAGCTTCCATTACTCAAGTCATGCAATTTGTCTCATGGTCTACAATTTATTACGTCTATTTTTAGGTCAAGTTAATAAAGATTAAATGCATGTTAAAATGTCATTCCTGGTGTCGGCATCGAATCCGCTGTGTTGGCAGTCGGGAGTTAGACCGATCATACAAGTTAGACTAGATATAACATTCAGACTAGTCGGATTAGTCAGAGTAGTCAGACTGGTTAGACCCCAAGAGTTTACAGAAGTCTTGATTTTGAGGCAAAAATTTTAAATCCGACAGAGTTACAGCAGATCACAAGGTGATCTGCAATTTGCTCAATGTTATTAGTATCAGTAGCAACCATCAGGACAGAGTCGCTGGTAAACAAGTAGATCTCTTGTCTTTGATGGGGCTTTGAGTCTCAGACTTGCTGAACAGTTATCAATCTACACAAGTCTTTAGGACTGGTCATTATTCATTACCTTTAGGGGGGGTCGCAGGAATTTGAATTTGGTTGTGTCACAATAAAATTTACCTAATCCCCCTTAGGGCTCTGCAATATTCTAATGTACCCCCAAAAGATCAATGAAAGTTTAATAATAGTTTGTCTAACGATGCCATTAATTGTTGATGGCGACGTTTTGTCTGCCACACCGAGAGTCGTTTAGAATACACAGTTTGATCGACAATTCATGAGGAGTCAATAACTTGAGATAACCTACCAAACTATTATTTATCCAATCAAAAAACAAGCGTCAAACAATAATTCTATCCTTCATAAAAATTACATTTTGATAGACATGCGATAAGTAAGGGGAGGAGACTATCCGAGCTTTTATGCCTCTGACTTAAGGGGAATGGCAAAGTAGCAGGCCTTCTCTGACTTCCCAGTCAGTGCCAGTTATCGCTTCAAACAAACACTGATTGCCCACGTCTGTTATATT